AGCGAACGATTATTCTCATACTCAATTAGTTGTCAGATTATTTTTTTGATTAGTCGTATTAAGAAAAACTCTCTCCCCCCTATCTTTCTCCCTCTCTTTCCCCCTCTCCCTCTATTTTTCCCAACTAATCGGTAATGAGAATAGTTGACAACTATTCTCATAATCGATTATTATTGATTAGTTGTTGCAGCCCTAGTGCACATTTTCCTTTAGGTTTTGTCTCCTCATTGCTGCAATTAAAAATACTAATTTCCTCAAAGTATTACGCAATAAAGGGAAGCACTACAATTGGGCTGACTTCACTACCTGAACTCTACGAGCATTTCCCACCTGCTGAGTCTATTTCTCATCAGCACAGCTGGAACTTCCTTTTTTAATTACAAAGTATCAGCAGGAAAAATAAAATGGCAGCCCAACCCTGCGTTCACCCGAGATCAACAAATAATAACAGGCTGACATGCTGCGGAGAGTTTATTAAGAAGACAGAGGTGTGTGATTGGCGACTATCCCTTTAAGAAGAACTCCACTCTAAGTCATGGAGCTGCCGATGTGACAGAACAGCAGCAACTATCAGCTCCTTCCCTTAATATTTAGGGACTGCTATGTTAGAGTGATCAGGACGCCATGATGAATGAATTATTTCTTTACAGGAAGGCTCGTTGTTGCTTTAGGTTACACAAAGGATGGGCTAGGCAGGGAGTTCAGATATTTATGGAAGGGTTCTTCTTTAAGGCATGGAACGTGTCAGATGAAATAAGCGTAAAAGACCGCGGATCGGACTTGTAGCGGAGATGTGGTGCTTGGCATGGATGGGGGGGGACAAGCGGTCGCCAGCAGTAACGGCTCCCAGCTTTGCCTCCCTCACGTCATTAGAAGCGGCTTGTTAACGCGGCTGTCTCCCGGAGCTGTGCAGTGAAACGTGCGCACATCTGAGGCCCCCATTGCTCCGCGCTCTACGGCGTGCGGCTTCTCTCTGAAAACATGTTTCTGTCACTACAAACAATATAACTAGTTGTTGCCAGTCACATTCTACCGGAAGACTTCACGTAGATTCTCCAAGACACTTCTACAGGTCTAATGTGTATCATCAACATCCCCCCCACCGAGATTTATACCCCCACCATACGGTATTTATACCCCCACCATACCAGGAACATACCCCTGATATTTATACCCCACCATAACAGAAACCATACCCCCGGTATTTATACCCCTCACCATACCAGGAACATACCCCCAGTATTTATACCCCTCACCATACCAGGAACATACCCCCAGTATTTATACCCCTCACCATACCAGGAACATACCCCCAGTATTTATACCCCCCATACCAGGAACATACCCCAGTGATTAGTCCCCTCCCCATACCAGGAACCTACCCCCGGTATTTATACCCCCTCCCATACCAGGAACCTACCCCTGGTATTTATACCCCACCATACCAGGAACATACCTCAGTATTTATACCCCCACCATACCAGGAACATACCTCAGTATTTATACCCCCACCATACCAGGAACATACCCCAGTATTTATAGCCCCACCATACCAGGAACCTACTCCAGCATTTATACTCCCACCATACCAGGAACATACCCCAGTATTTATACTCCCACCATACCAGGAACATACCCAAAATACCCTCACTATTTATACCCCCCCCCCATACAACAGGAACATACCCCAGTATATAAAGTACAGTAAATCCCCACTATACCAGCAACCTACTTCCAGTATTTATGCCCCCAGCATACCACAGAAATACCCGACACTCATTAGACATGTAGAAGCGTCTTCAACGTTCTAGAACTAGTCCATGTTGAATGTAACCAACTACTACTATCTCCACCATGACCTGGATAACCAAGAACCTTCACAGTCTAGATGAGGAACGTTCTTTTTTCCTGTCTCTGGATTTCCATTTTGCTCTGCGATTCCCTCAAGTTGAGAGCGCTTTGCATCGGCGTTCTAGTTTTACACAGAATGATAGCAGGCCGCGCAAGGTGCAAACGCTTCTTACAAGCGCAGATCCACTTTAAAATGCAGTAAGATCTCACTTCCGTGACTGTGCCGACGGCGGCTGTCAGAATCTACACAGAAGCGTCATCGCGCTAGATTTCTGCATGGAAAGGGAGGTGGGTGGAGGTCGTCCTCCAGGGGCAAACTGAGGGGACCAGACCACAGCAATACAAGCTGCAACTGTGCTATAGCTATAGCTGCCCAAAGACGGAACAATGTTTCAGCAGATATAAAATATACTGACAGTCCCCCGGGTCACGAACAAGATAGGGACTGGAGGTTTGTTCTTAAGTTGAATTTGTACGTAAGCTGGAACAGGTACATTCTTTAAGTGCAACTCCAGCCCCCTCCCCCCAAACAAAACCCCCTGTAAAGTTGTTTTTTGTTAAAGATTATTCTCTATATCTCATTTGTATCAATGTATATATATCTATCTCATATTTATGTATGTATCCGTGTTTGAATCTCTTTCATTAATATCTATGTGATCTCTCTCTCTTATCTATTTATTATCTATCTCTCATATATATCATATATGTGCCTATCACATGTATCGATATCATATGTATTTATATATCTATCCCTGTATGTATCTATCCCTGTATGTATCTATCCGTGTATGTATCTATCCATCCCTGTATGTATCTATCCCTGTATGTATCTATCCCTGTATGTATCTATCCCTGTATGTATCTATCCCTGTATGTATCTATCCCTGTATGTATCTATCCCTGTATGTATCTATCCGTGTATGTATCTATCCGTGTATGTATCTATCCGTGTATGTATCTATCCCTGTATGTATCTATCCCTGTATGTATCTATCCGTGCATGTATCTATCCCTGTATGTATCTATCCGTGCATGTATCTATCCCTGTATGTATCTATCCGTGCATGTATCTATCCCTGTATGTATCTATCCGTGCATGTATCTATCCCTGTATGTATCTATCCGTGCATGTATCTATCCCTGTATGTATCTATCCGTGCATGTATCTATCCCTGTATGTATCTATCCGTGCATGTATCTATCCCTGTATGTATCTATCCGTGTATGTATCTATGTACGTACATGTCTCTGTATCTGTCTAAACCAGGGGTGCCCATTAGGTAGATGGTGATCTACCAGTAGCTCTCAAAGCTGATGCTGGTAGATCAGGAAGGGGGGGAATGGCGGCCCCTTTATTCCATGTTGGTATATTTATCTCGCTGTGCACACATGATTACCTATTAGCCTGAGTCTGCTGAGCCGAGCTCCCTGACACCTGTCTGGTGGATACTGGGGGTTGTAGTACTATGTATTACATCAAAGAAAATTAGTTTACACAGCCTGTTGCAAAATACAGCAAGGTGAGCCAGGAGAGAGAGGAGAGACAGCCAGAAGAGAGAGCAAGGAGAGAGAGAGCAAGGAGAGAGCGAGGAGAGACAGCCAGGAGAGAGAGCCAGGAGAGAGAGACCAAGGAGAGAGCAAGGAGAGAGCAAGGAGAAAGAGAGAGCGAGGAGAGAGCGAGGAGAGACAGCCAGAAGAGAGAGCAAGGAGAGAGAGAGCAAGGAGAGAGAGAGCAAGGAGAGAGAGAGCAAGGAGAGAGAGCCAGGACAGAAAGCAAGGAGAGACAGCCAGGAGAGAGAGCGAGGAGAGAAAGCAAGGAGAGAGAGCGAGGAGAGAGCGAGGAGAGAGAGCCAGGAGAGAGAGCCAGGGGAGAGAGCCAGGGGAGAGAGCCAGGGGAGAGAGCAAGGAGAAAGAGCAAGGAGAGACAGCCAGGAGAGAGAGCAAGGAGACACAGCCAGGAGAGAGAGCAAGGAGAGACAGCCAGGAGAGAGAGCGAGGAGAGAAAGCAAGGAGAGAGAGCGAGGAGAGAGCGAGGAGAGAGAGCCAGGAGAGAGAGCCAGGGGAGAGAGCCAGGGGAGAGAGCCAGGGGAGAGAGCCAGGGGAGAGAGCAAGGAGAAAGAGCAAGGAGAGACAGCCAGGAGAGAGAGCAAGGAGACACAGCCAGGAGAGAGAGCAAGGAGAGACAGCCAGGAGAGAGAGCAAGGAGAGACAGCCAGGAGAGAGAGCAAGGAGAGAGAGCCAGGACAGCCAGGAGAGACAGCCAGGAGAGAGAGAGCGAGGATAGACAGCCAGGAGAGAGAGAGCGAGGAGAGACAGCCAGGAGAGAGAGAGCAGGGAGAGACAGCCAGGAGAGAGAGCAAGGAGAGACAGCCATGAGAGAGAGAGAGAGGAGAGACAGCCAGGGGAGAGAGAGTGAGGGAGGTGTTTTTTTTCATTGGTAGATCTCATGTAGCTCGACATTTGAAAAGTAGATCTTAACACAAAAATTGTGGGCACCCCTGCTCTAAACTATCTCTCTATATATCTATGTGATCTCTCTTTCTCTTATCTATCTGTTTAGGGGTGGTGTCATTTTGGGGTGCAGAGCAGTAAATGCCCCTCTCAGGGAAGGGTGCAGTAGAATGTACACATTGAAGAGGAGATACGGATCCCATGGTTGACAAGTGGAGAGATTGATCGTCTACAGACATTTGTCTCCTGTGTAACGTGTAAGCAGACACAGACGTCCGGGGGCACAGAGTGTCACGTATGCGTTAGCCGGGTCAAGGAAGGTGGGCACTTCGGGGAGTGGGGTGCGGACCCAGATCACGGAGCACAGCCAGAGATGATTTATCAGCATCTTTTAGGTCTGCTGGAAAGGAACGCATTCATTAAGATGGGCTGTGTGAGTACCTGTCACTGCAGGAAGTGGGTGCGCTTTTACTTGTAGTTCTACACGAGAGAGACTGTAGTACCACAGAGATAGGACCGACACCATTGGAGTGTGATGGGACTTGTAGTTTTACAGAGAAAGCCTAGACACACTGTATACACCATGTGGGTACAAGCAGGGGTCACATTCCAGGTGTTTGTATGTATCAGCGTTCTGCAGGCGCAGCGCGGCCAGCATGATGATGGTTCAGCCATGTTTTATTCTCTTTGTTCAGGTCTGTACAAAGGAAACTGCTTCCGAATTAATCACTTTCCTGAAGACAATGACTACGACCACGACAGCTCCGAGTACCTCCTACGTGAGTATGCAACTTTCATATCATTGCACTGACAGGACCCAAAGGGTATGATGGCGCCAGGAACAAGGGATTATGGGAAGGAACGCAGAGGAGACCGCTGTGGTGCCGGGCCCCCCTTCTCTTCCTGCAGGATATCTCCAATGGGGACAAAGGGGACGCATGTTAAGTAGAGGGGGAATGGGTTAGACGTCGGACAAAGATTTTATAGCCCATGTGCTGGTGACAACTCCCCTCATCTTTTGTACAGGTGTCACAGGGACAGGAAGTGAGGGAAAATACATCTCTGAGATAATGAAAATACACAGTTTTCCACATGTAACCTGCATGGTTTTGAACGCAGTAAGAACCCATCCGCAGAACAGTAAAACACAGAAAATTAAAGCATCGCGCTCATGGACAAAGACTTTCGCATATGTGAATGCAGTCTCTGATGTCTGAGAAGATTACAGCCATTACCGCTCCAATTCTTAAATTACAATTCCGGCTAATGTCAGCAAAGATCGCAGTGCGCCGGCTGCACTCAGAGGCATCATTAAAGCGGAACACACTCATCTCTTCATTAAGAAAAAAAGATTTGATTTTTATGTTATGCTTTGACAACCTGTAGTGTTGTCATATACACAGGACCGCTCAGGAAATGTAGAATGCCATACAATCGCTAAAGAAAATAATCTTTTTGGGGGGTGTTTGAGCCTTTTCTAGACAGCCAACATTCGTGATTCTTAGCGTGCTTCCCTAGACACAGATATGTCAGATCCCATCTACATATTACTGTCATAACGTCACCGTGCGGGGAAAGAATCCTTCCAGCAGCCTCAGTGACACCATTTCTTTAGACAAAGACCACAAATCTTCAAAAACACTGGAAACGTTCAAAAGTTACAGAGAATGTAAAAAAGACACAAAGGACATCAAGTCCAACCAAAACTGTCACTTCTGTACAATAGAATATCGTTCCAAGATGAAGAGAAACCAGCACTGCTAGGAGAGCATGTGGAGTGAACGCCGGGGAACGCAGAAGACGAGACCTGGACTACATAGAGAAGAGAAGAAGTAAAGAAATCTGAGGAACTGATACAATGTTACTAACAATAAAGAACAGATACAGGGAAAATCATCAGTGAATGTATCATTCTATTAAACACATAAGGCCCCATTCACACTGAGCGACTTATCGAGCGATTTTTGCAGCGATATCGCTCATATTTCCACACGATATCGCTCTATGTCAGCGGTTCTCAACCTGTGCACCTCAGGACCCACATTTGTCCTCGGTCATTAAGTCGCGACCCAAGTCGCACTGCAATGGAACGCACGGCAGTGTGGGCTGCTGTGCTGTGACGGAGCTCCATCTATATGTGCAATGCTTGTAGAGCTCCCAATGCGCTCCTGTAGAGGAGCCAGAACGTGATGTTACTCCGGTCCAAGTACCGCTATAGGACATGCAAGGGGCTATAAGCAATGCATTTATGAATGGAGCTCCCTCGCTGTCAAACACCCAGCCAACCTCACCCCACCCCCACCCCAAGCTGACACTTGGCGCTGGGCAGCATATTTTGAATGGCTGTTCGGTGTGAGAATGGACAGTGCTGCACTAGGGGGAGGCTGAGGAGCATGTAGGGACCCACTGAACACAGGGTCGCGACCCACTTTTGGGCCACGACCCACCAGTTGAGAGCCAAGGCTCTATGTAGCTTCTCCAATCCATTTCAATGGAGCTGTTCACATCTCGTCGCTCAATATCGACCAATATCGCTCAATATCGCTTGTAGCTCCTACATGACCCTTTTTTCAAGTGATTTCGAGTGATTTTACTCCTGATTGCATACAGCCCAATAGAAAAAAGTTGCGCGACATGTCGCTCAAAGAAAATTGCGCGGAAAATTGCGCGATTTTCATGTCGCTCAGTGTAAATGGGGCCTAAGGCAGATATCATCAACTAATAAATACATTGGGGATCTTATGATCACCTTATATCAGGGGTTCTCAACCTTTCTAGGGCCGGGACCCCTTGGTAACATTTGCCAAGTTGTGTTGACCCCATCTGTAAAATGTAGGGATGCACCAATACTAGTATCTGTGTGGGCTCTCAGGTGGCTAGTGGGACTCTCTGGTGGCATCCAGTGCGGGCTCTGTGGTGCCCAGTGCAGGCTCTGTGGTGATCAAGCACTCACCTCCCCCAACTCCTGCCTGCTCCCCTCTCTCTGATCCTCTCCGGCCGCCGCCGCTGCAGCGCCATCTAGGCGAACTGACACTGCCACGCTAGGTGGAAGCTGGGTAGCCTCTTACCTAGAGCAGCACAAGGCACGTGGGGACCCCCTCAACTGTGGGTTGCGACCCACTGCCTTATATTAATACATAAAGTAGTGAAAATGTGGAAGAGTCTCCCACAGCACAAGACAAATTGCCAAAAAGGTCCAATTTTTATATGCACTATAAGGGTTACTTACAGTGATGAAACTACACAGGTGAACCTTAGTCCAGAGAATTATCTGATTGCCATCATGGGTCAGTAAGAAATTCATCTTCTCCCTTCCTCTGGATCACTAGGGACCCAAAAGATGGGCAGAAAAAAATGCCACAGTGCATTCTGTACTTGAACCGTAGAAGTATAGTGATCACATACCAAAGACTCAAAGTACTTTATATGGTCAAAAGGTTGGGGACACTTGCCCCTAATGCCTACCTATGTGTCCAAAACTATCCCAAAGATTGAGTTTGAGTGTTTCCAATGAAAGGCTCTATAACTCTACAACAAAGACATTGTAGACAATTGTGTTCTTCCAACCTTGTGGTGACAGTTTGATGAAGTTCCACCATAATTGTCCCTGTGTACAAAACCATCTCCATAAAGACATGGTGTGACCAGTTTGGTGAAGACCCTTTTCTGTTCCCACCATGACTGTACCCTGTGTACAAAGCCAGCTCCATAAAGACATGGTGTGACCAGTTTGGTGTGAAGGAACTCGAGTGTCCTGCACAGAGCCCTGACCTCAAACCTACTACTGGAATGAATTGGAACAGATTGTGAGCCACATCTCTTCATCCAACATCTGTACCCGACCTCACAAATGATACAAATTCCCCCATGACTCCCTCCAAAATCTTGTGGAAAGTCTTACCAAACAGAATGGAGGATAGTATAGCCACAAAAGAGAGGCAGATTTCATATTACAAAAAAGGCTTTGGAATGGGATGTTCAACAAGCTCATTTAGGTGTCCACAAACTCTCGGCCATACAGTATACTTGTACCAGTAGACTCCGGGGCTCAGGGCTGGTAGAACATCCCAATTATATGCATCTCAGCTGTGTATTTAGCTCTTTGACAGAAATTCCATATTTCTCATACTTTGTGTCTGTGTGGAAACACCAGACCGGTTTCTGTCCCCTAGAACAGATTGTGTTTTTCACGACGACGACACTGAATTAGGAAAGCAGCAAACACAAGCCTCTACCTTCACCGGCAGCTGAAAACAGCTCAATCCGGGCCTTGGAAATCAATATCTGCAACAAGCTGACGTCTTCCCAGGTTTCCGCTTGGTTTGGCAACTTCCAAACTGAAGACGAAGAGAAGCGCACTTCTTAAAAATAGGCCAGGCCCTGGGTGTTTTGACTGACTCGCTGTACATCTAGGAGGGGGTGACCCCCCATCACAATTATGCACGCAGCAAATCTGTGATAAAATGTCATTTACTGCAGGCGAATGTAACATGACGCATCCCAACCGTGAAAATCATTCTTTCCAGCAAAGTAACCCAGCCGTGGATGGCTCTGAAACCACGGAAAGTTACATAGTATTTGAGGTTGAATAAAGACATAAGTCCATCAGTCCTATAAACCTGCTGCTTACAATTATTGTGGAAGAGTCGGTCAAACTTGATCCACCTCCACAGGACGTAGCGTTCCCTTTATTGTATGACCATGTCCTATGGTGCCAAGCGTTACCTGTTGTTCCCTCATATCAGCCATTAAAACCTAAAAGGAGTCTCACCTGAGGCAGACTACCACAACCAGCCCCCTATGTACATAGGGGCGGATATTTCCACATGAAGTGTCTCAGTTTCATGGAATGTATGGACAAAACAGAGATGCCGGTTCTGTAGGAAGAGTCCATAAAGGCTTTCCCTACATTGATTTGAAATGTTGCCATGAGTACATCTGGCCTCAAATTTCCCCTTGTGGACTGGCTAGGCAAAGTGTGTTTGAGAAAAAAAAAATCACGTGGCTTTGTTTACTAACCAAACCATCCGGCATGATGATCAATGGCTTGCTGATAAACAAAGCCAACCCCAGCGGTAACTGTAACCCTTTGTTTACAAAGTCACGTGATCGCTAGGTCAGCACTGATATGACGATCACATGACGTGTTTATAAACAAAGTCACGTGATCGCTAGGCCTGCACTGATATGACGATCACATGGCTTGTCTATAAACAGAATCACGTGATCGCTAGATCAGCACTGATATGATGATCACACGACTTGTCTATAAACAAAGTCATGTGATCACTAGGTCAGCACTGATACGACGATCACGTGACTAGTCTATAAACAAAGTCACGTGATCCTTAGGTCAGCACTCATAGGACAATCTAATAGCTTGTCTATAAACAAAGTCACGTGATCGCTAGGTCAGCACTGATATGACGATCTAATAGCTTGTCTATAAACAAAGTCATGTGATCGCTAGGTCAGCACTGACAGGACGATCACATGACTTGTCTATAAACAAAGAGTTAGCGTTCAAGCTCTAACACCATGCTCCTGGCCAATGAGGGGATGTTGTTTGGCCCAAGACCTGGTCCAAGATAGTTGAAAGAAGCTGCTGCAAAATTGATCCAGAAAACATTTAAAGCTCAATGCATCCATGAAAAGTGCACGTGTGACCAGAGTCCAGACGTTCTAGTATCTGTGTATTCTTCATGAGCAGTAAAGGAGCTTTAAAACAAGTCATCAATAGAATGTGTAGCTGCAGGCACTGTGGAGACATTCAAGTTTACAAGAGGAACACTGAAATCCTAGTTGATATGCCGGCTGACTCTTTGCAGCCTGCCAACCTTCTCCTAACAATACACAGCGTGTGCTGCAAGCTATTCAGAAACTGACAACCTGACTTCCCAAGTCTGTGTTGTGACATTTGAGGATTCATTTCTCCACAGCGCCTGCAGCTACAAAGGTCATTTCTGGCCAAGTGAAAACTCACGACCTCATCCATCTTTACTCCCAAGTCTTTATTCCAGGACACCGGACAATATTCTGGGGGGTTCCGCCATGAGCCTGGAGTTGCAGAGCACAGACACTCCCAAGTCTTTATTCCAGGACACCGGACAATATTCTGGGGGGTTCCGCCATGAGCCTGGAGTTGCAGAGCACAGACACTCCCAAGTCTTTATTCCAGGACACCGGACAATATTCTGGGACCCCCCCCCCCCCCCTCCTGTTTATCTGCCCTTCACAATTAGAAAGTGTTGCTACCTTTGCCAAAACCAGCTTTAATTATACAGAAACCGGACTCCGCCAGACAAAATGCCGTGGCGCTCGGGGTCTCACCGGCTCAGAGCTGGGAGGAATAATTACTGGACGTCGTTAAATGTCAGCAGGAGTCGGTGAAGGGGGGGGATCTGGAAATGTACCGAGAGTGCTTTGGGGAAATAATGTACTCCGCTCATAATTACTTTTTACCTTCAATAAAACATCGTATCTCAATTATACAGCAGAGACTCCACCTGCTCTGATCGTAAAGTGTTATTAATATCATATTAAAAGGCGGCTGGTCGTTCTGCGATATAATACAGCCGCCCCCTCCCTCCCTAGAGGAGCTGAAGAAATGGGGCTGCGGGTCATACACCTCACTCGTTATGGAAGGAAGAATCCAGCGTTACTGTACCTTTAAGCTGCAGTTTGTGTCGGGGATGTCTCCAGCGGGTCGTTCTTGCATCAGATTCAGACCTGGGGGGGAGGAATAAAAAGCACAAAATGAAGATGAATCCAAGTAAAAAAAAGGAGAACGAATGCAAACAGTGAAAAGAAAGTATTTGATTGCATGAAACACAGCTGCAGATATTGTTACAATGTTTCAAACGTATCTTCCCGCTTAACCAATTTATCACACATAACCGGTTGCCTGTTTATTGGATCGAGGTCTTGCCACGCCCATTATAGGAGGAGCCATAGCACAAGATGGCCCGCTGCGCAAGTTGTGGAAACGGGTAAGGAGTCGGTGAAAGATGGATTACAGCAAGTCTTAACTCAACCTGGACAACATTTAGGTTGCTCTTTGCTCCGAGTACCATTGCAGTCTAATTGCACCTTTAATTTTCATAATTTGTTCCATCTCGGTGCTGCTGATCTCCTGCAGCCTCTTTGTACCCACTTCCCGTCTACATGCACTCCAGTGATGGCTGCACGACATTTCCCAAGGCTGGTTTCCTGATGGCGACAGCAGCGGATCATGTCTGTGTCATGTGTTGAAATGGCCACTCCTAGACTCCAATGCAGGGGTGGGCCACTCCGGGCCCTCCAGCTGTCGTGGAACTACAAGTCCCATGAGGTATTGCATGACTGACAGTTACTGGCCTGACTCCCAGAGGCATGATGGGATTTGTAGGAACCATGGATTGTTATAAAGAAAGCTGTGGATTTTAGAGTTGGATAGAGAAGGGAAGAGTTAGAATTACTGTGAGGTTTGTATTTCTGTGACACCATTAGGGAGATTTTCCTTCACTTCCTGTCCCCATACAAGAAATGGAGGGGAATGTTCTAGTCACTAGGAAAGAAGGACGCAGATGGCAATAAACCTCCTCTCTCCACTATTCACCATCTCCTCTCCATTATTCACCATCTCCTCTCCATTATTCCCGGTCTCCTCTCCTTTATTCACCATCTCCTCTCCATTATTCCCGGTCTCCTCTCCTTTATTCACCATCTCCTCTCCATTATTCCCGGTCTCCTCTCCTTTATTCACCATCTCCTCTCCATTATTCCCGGTCTCCTCTCCTTTATTCACCATCTCCTCTCCATTATTCCCGGTCTCCTCTCCTTTATTCACCATCTCCTCTCCATTATTCCCGGTCTCCTCTCCTTTATTCACCATCTCCTCTCCATTATTCCCGGTCTCCTCTCCTTTATTCACCATCTCCTCTCCATTATTCCCGGTCTCCTCTCCTTTATTCACCATCTCCTCTCCATTATTCCCGGTCTCCTCTCCTTTATTCACCATCTCCTCTCCATTATTCCCGGTCTCCTCTCCTTTATTCACCATCTCCTCTCCATTATTCCCGGTCTCCTCTCCTTTATTCACCATCTCCTCTCCATTATTCCCGGTCTCCTCTCCTTTATTCACCATCTCCTCTCCATTATTCCCGGTCTCCTCTCCTTTATTCACCATCTCCTCTCCATTATTCCCGGTCTCCTCTCCTTTATTCACCATCTCCTCTCCATTATTCCCGGTCTCCTCTCCTTTATTCACCATCTCCTCTCCATTATTCCCGGTCTCCTCTCCTTTATTCACCATCTCCTCTCCATTATTCCCGGTCTCCTCTCCTTTATTCACCATCTCCTCTCCATTATTCCCGGTCTCCTCTCCTTTATTCACCATCTCCTCTCCATTATTCCCGGTCTCCTCTCCTTTATTCACCATCTCCTCTCCATTATTCCCGGTCTCCTCTCCTTTATTCACCATCTCCTCTCCATTATTCCCGGTCTCCTCTCCTTTATTCACCATCTCCTCTCCATTATTCCCGGTCTCCTCTCCTTTATTCACCATCTCCTCTCCATTATTCCCGGTCTCCTCTCCTTTATTCACCATCTCCTCTCCATTATTCCCGGTCTCCTCTCCTTTATTCACCATCTCCTCTCCATTATTCCCGGTCTCCTCTCCTTTATTCACCATCTCCTCTCCATTATTCCCGGTCTCCTCTCCTTTATTCACCATCTCCTCTCCATTATTCCCGGTCTCCTCTCCTTTATTCACCATCTCCTCTCCATTATTCCCGGTCTCCTCTCCTTTATTCACCATCTCCTCTCCATTATTCCCGGTCTCCTCTCCTTTATTCACCATCTCCTCTCCATTATTCCCGGTCTCCTCTCCTTTATTCACCATCTCCTCTCCATTATTCCCGGTCTCCTCTCCTTTATTCACCATCTCCTCTCCATTATTCCCGGTCTCCTCTCCTTTATTCACCATCTCCTCTCCATTATTCCCGGTCTCCTCTCCTTTATTCACCATCTCCTCTCCATTATTCCCGGTCTCCTCTCCTTTATTCACCATCTCCTCTCCATTATTCCCGGTCTCCTCTCCTTTATTCACCATCTCCTCTCCATTATTCCCGGTCTCCTCTCCTTTATTCACCATCTCCTCTCCATTATTCCCGGTCTCCTCTCCTTTATTCACCATCTCCTCTCCATTATTCCCGGTCTCCTCTCCTTTATTCACCATCTCCTCTCCATTATTCCCGGTCTCCTCTCCTTTATTCACCATCTCCTCTCCATTATTCACCGTCTCCTCTCCCATTATTCACCATATCCATCTCCTCTCCATTATTCACCGTCCTCTCTCTATTATTCACCATCTCCTCTCCATTATTCCCGGTCTCCTCTCCTTTATTCACCATCTCCTCTCCATTATTCACCGTCTCCTCTCCATTATTCACCGTCTCCTCTCCATTATTCACCATACCCTCTCCATTATTCACCGTCTCCTCTCCCATTATTCACCATATCCATCTCCTCTCCATTATTCACCATATCCATCTCCTCTCCATTATTCACCATCTCCTCTCCATTATTCACCATATCCATCTCCTCTCCATTATTCACCGTCCTCTCTCTATTATTCACCATCTCCTCTCCATTATTCCCGGTCTCCTCTCCTTTATTCACCATCTCCTCTCCATTATTCACCGTCTCCTCTCCATTATTCACCGTCTCCTCTCCATTATTCACCATACCCTCTCCATTATTCACCGTCTCCTCTCCCATTATTCACCATATCCATCTCCTCTCCATTATTCACCATATCCATCTCCTCTCCTTTATTCACCATCTCCTCTCCATTATTCACTGTCTCCTCTCCCTTATTCACCATCTCCTCTCCATTATTCACCATCTCCTCTCCATTATTCACAACACAAGATAAGAAGTCACAGATGGAGTGATGCTTTAAGGATGAAGCAGAGTTATCACATGGAAGGAGGGGGCGGGGTATTGTTCTGCCGGTGATGGGAAATGTTGAAGGCACACCGGTCAATGATCATTGTATTGTCATCCCCAGGCATCGTCCGCGCCTCCAGCGTCTTCCCCATACTCAGCACCATCCTCCTGTTACTGGGCGGCCTGTGTGTTGGCGCCGGGAGGATTTATAAGCGGAGGAATAACATCATACTCAGCGCTGGGATACTCTTCGTAGCTGCCGGTAAGCAGGACATGACGATGATCTGTAATTACCCCCATCGCTGTACGACATGTGCAGGTAGGGGGCGCCACTGCTGACACTCCTCTGACAATGCTATTCTCCTGCTTGTGTCACTGATCAGACGACCACAACACTCTCTCAAGCATGCACCAAGCGAAGCCAGTCCCCAATTCACACCCCAGTTTTCTGTTGCATGTTTCCTGAAGCGCGACACAATATCAACACGAAGAAATTCAATGGTCCCGGTTCCTTGTGATCACAATCTGAGCTTTGTGCTGCTTGGAGCTTGAAGTACATTACGGTACAATGACACATTTCTGTCCCCATAGCCAGAGGCGTAGCTAGCTCCTTTTTCGCCCGAGGCAAGAACAGAAAATTGTGCCCCCCCCCCAACAGACGTGTTATGTCACCCTATGCCACGCACGGCGTCATGTGACGCCATGCGCCCCGCCTCCAGGATGGCGGCACCAAATAGCATACAAATTTGTTTCATTTGACGAAACTAATGAAAACATTTTTAGTTTCCGTTCATTTAGTCTTTGCACGTCTAATAGTGTGTGTGTGTGTGTGTGTGTGTGTGTG